CCTTCCTTCTTTCCTTCCTTTCCTTCCCCTCCCTCTTTGTCCCTTCCTCCTTCCCTCCCTCTCTCCCTGTCAAGCCCCCGCGGGCTCAACATGAACGGGCGGGGGGAGGGGTCGAGGACAACGTGCGGGGCGGCAAAGGAGACCAGTGGCCAACGCCTTCTACCTAGCAGCGTGGATGTCGGCTCCGTGGGCGTCCTGACCAACAGCTGAGCGGCTCCTACTCTTAGCCGCCGAACAGCTGATGGGCGGGAGGCCGGGGCAGGGAGCCAAGGGCCGATGGAGCGGCCTGAAGCTGAAAGGCTCTGTCTCTCGGCCGCCGAACAGCTGATGAATGCGAGGCCTGGAGCACAGCCGAACCACGTTCACGGGACTGGAAGGCTGCAGCACTGCAGCTCCCATTGTCCCTTCCTTCCTTCCTTCCTTCCTTCCTTCCTTCCTTCCTTCCTTCCTTCCTTCCTTCCTCGTTCCTTCGATAAGTCACTCTTGTATGCACATTCATTCATTGCCTATTTCTTGTTCTTTTTTGTTTTACTACATCCATTTCTTTAGCAATCCCTTCTCACTTATTTCAACTTATTTCTATGTTCTTCTGACATTTCCAACTCTCTGTTTCATATAGAAAATTGGGGATATATTGAAGTAAAAGTACTTTACTTCAAGCATAAAGATCACTGGACTTTTTCTTGTTTTTAGAAGATTCCACATTTCCAACAATTACATTAAAATAAGTCTCTTCAAATTCAGTTCTTTATTCCTTTATACCATATGCAGCTATGAAGTCCATTGGCTAAACCTATTCCTTCTATAATTAGTATACTGTACAGGGATTTTATCTATTGTTATCCACCATAGACAATTTACTCAGTAATATAATTTAAGGTTATGCAAGTCTGTGTCTTTCTTTTGAGTCTTACAATATTTTGAATCTTACAAGCAATACATTATGTACTACCCTGGAACTAAGCAAACAGTCATGAATGTATGAAAGGAAGAAATGGAACCATGAATATTAGATACTGACTCCACTGCTCACAGTTTTGTCAACTGTAGATTTTATATAATCCTTTTTAATCAGATAAAAATTAGACGGTTATCCTCTTTATACAAATACTATATGCAATATTTCATGCTAACTATAGTGCCATTATGCTGTTCAGTTAAGTGGTCCTTGACTAACGACCCCAATTGGGATCAGAATTTCCATTGCTAAGCAAGTTAGTTGATTATGGATTTGAAGATAATATCTTTAAAAAGTTCTTATATATAATTTCTAAAATGCATATGTCTAACGTTTCAGATAATTTAAAAACTCCTTTTAAATGAATGCTGTTTGTTTAAGTATAATAATGGCTTCAAAGGTTATATTTGTTTGCAGCACTGTGGTTCTGTTCCAGTTTATCATAAAGATGAATTAAACCCTTGCTAGGTTTGTAAAGATTGACTGATGTTGTTAGGCAGTCTGAAAATATGTTACTAATTTTTCTGTTGCTGGGTGTAAAGTTTTCACATAATGTAAAGCATTATAAAGCATTGTTTCATAGTAGTTGCTGTTGAGGTTCTATGAAATGGTAACTTAGGCAGTCTTGTTTTTTTAAATAAAGTATAAGGAATGCTTATAACTAAAGCCAAGGAACACATCTGCCATAGATAGACTTGGAGAGATGTTATTTGGTAAAGATTAAATCTTAAAAAGCTGTACTTAAAATTAATTAAAATATTCCCCAGACTGCTTTAAATTACTCATTTCTCACTCATGCAGGATATTGCACAAGGAATACTTTGGCTAGTGGATAACTCTAAGCAGTAAGCTTCCATTATAATTAAACTCTATGCATGCAGACATTTCAACACAGTAACTCATGCATTCCTGTTCATTTTATTTATGATCAGCTTTGTATTTAAACATAATATGTTTCAATGCCAAGATTAAATACCAGGGAGTTTTCAAATTAATGATCTACTCATGCACACACACACATACACACACCCAAAAAACCCCAGAGACACACAAACCATATTCAGCAGGCACCAACTCTGCTCCCTTTAGGAAAGCTATTCAGTCCACTTGAATTGGGATATCTTTTTGGCTGTTTTGTTATGTTGTTTGAGCATTGTTTTATATTTTGTATTGACATATTGTACATATTTAATATTATGGGGGATAGTTCTTCTTTGGTTTATTGTTTGATTTTTTATGCTATAAGCTTAGAGTCACATTGTTTGAGTTAGATAACCTTATAAATTTCATAAACAGGCAAACAAATAGATGGACTGTTGCTGAACAAAACTTCTATTTTATAATCTCTTCTTCTCAAAGGTAGATGATTACCAATGGTGAGAATATGGAAGACAATGATCTCAAAATATATTTTAAAATGCAAGAGTCTGCTCAATGGAGTTACAATGCATTATAAAATTAGATCAGTCTGACAGAGCAGTTTTATGTTACTTGCAGTAGCCTATTCATATTTTAATAAACAATATATATTAATTAAAAATGTTATATTAGTACTGCTTACTTTTTTACCTGAAAAAGGAAGATTTTTTAAAAAAAATATATTGAAAATCTCTATTTGGATGGAATAATATAAGATACAAAATTATTGTTAGTTTAAAGTAGAGAGAGACTTAAAAAAGAAATTCAGAAATCTATACTGACTTCCATCTTTAATAATATAAAAGAAAAACCTGGAGATTTTTAAATCCCTTATGAACTGAAGATCTCAGAACAACATATATAAATTAAATAAAATACAATTGTGTCAATAAAACCCAATTTTAACATCCAGTTACTGTATTAAATTCAACTTTAATAATAAATATATTAAATGAATCCCAATGCAATTAGAGTTTAAAGCTATAAAAATAAAATGTAAAAATCAGTATTAAAAATAAAAAAATAAATGAAGGATAGGTATTATTTATAGCATGATAATATTGCCTTATAAGTTGTTTTCTAACCCAGTAGATAGCTGCAGTGACACAATATATAGTCATAGCAATTGAAATATTTTACAAATATTTAAACTGCCCTGGCATGTTCTTCATGTGTAGTTTAGAAAAAGTTTAGGAAAGGTAGAAAGGATACTCACAACCTTTTTTTAGAGCCCTCTTTCAGCTTGTTGACTTTATGCAGTTTGACTGATAAACTTTATTACTGTTTTTAATCAACCCCTTTAGAAATCTTTATTTAGACCAAACTTTACCAACAATGATTGGTCTTCAACTCCTATGTTTTATTTAAAATGAAATTTAAGAATACAATTATAGTTGTTATAGTAGAAAAGGCTCCAGTATGATTTTACGAAAAAAATATGGCAACATAAAATCATTTTAAATTCCTAATTCATCAAATAATTGGTTTTCCTTTATTTATTTATTTCAGCATTTCATGATGTATCTGTGTATCCCCAGAAAGATCTTCCTTTTTTCATCCATTTTACAGCAGGGCTATGTTCTTTCACAGCAATGTTAGCCCTCCTCACACATCAGTTTCCTGAACTCATGGTCATTTTTGCTAAAGCTGTAAGTATTGTCTCTACTCCAGGGTTTACTTAAGATGTTTGTGAGGCATGCAGAAATTGAATGAAATTGAGAACTTCGTCTGCAGACCTTTACTCAGAGCCACAGACATCTAAAAATCTGATTGAACATTGATTGTGGTTGCTCACTTCCCTTTTAAAGAAAGATTTATTAAAGATCAGATGAAAAGCTTAAGGTTCATTTAGGCCGTCTTAAATTAAGAAGCAGTATTTAATGTGTCACAATTTTTGAATTTTAAAGTTGGGAATCTTATGCCATTTCAAATAAAGTTTTTGTAACTTAGGATTTGTTAATAATTAATGTTTACTTCATCAGCATGAAAATATTTAGACTGTAAGCTCTCTGGGCAAGAAGAAACTTTCCATCAGTATCCCTTCCTGTTATTAGACAAATATATTATAATAAATAATTGTATCTTTTTCTCCTTGACATTCATTGCCTACTAAATAAACTTTTGGGGGAAACTGAATGGAATTTGTAATATGGTGCTATGACCTAGATGTTACATACCACAAATCCAAGTCTGTCTGCAAGCCTTTTCATCTTCCCCAAGTAGAATATAATGTAATAGATTGATATAGTGAAGTTGGAACCATGCAGAATTTTTCTATTTTTTACTTGTATTTTCAGAATATATATTTATTGAAATTTGGAAATAAAATTCAAATTGTTTGTACAATTGTTTAAACCTGAAATTATGTACCATTTTCTTGTTCTGTTGGTAATCTTGACACTTGTTAACTTGAAGAGAGAAAAAGAGACTTTTTTTCACCTGTCATCCAACTCCAACTCATTGCATCACTTTAGACTCAACTTTTGGGTAGATTCAGAGTTTCATCTGTATGAATTTCTAAATACTTTTTCTTAACCAAACTTTCCTTTTTCGCTTTCTATTATTGTAAAACTGTTGTCCCAACTATATCCAAATCAGTGAGAAATACTGGACTTCAATGAGTTTTTAAATAAGAGTTCAAAAAACAGGATTGAACTAGCTAGGAAAATAGAATTAGTATTCCGAACTATGAACATCCTGCATAATCTTGAATCTGGTGGCAGGAAAATCACCTTAATTTAAAAGAAACAAGAAAATATTGTTGTAAGTATCTAATAATGAATTTTATGTCCTTAGATTATATTGATAGACTTAGTTGGACTTGTCCTCAAGAGTTCTTTCCCTTTAATAAAATTGAAAATTATCTTTCATGATATCCATTTTATGGCACCAAATTGAATCTAAAATAGTACATATTATTGTTAGTAAAATAATATATGATTCACTCTAGTAGTATTTAGTTTCTGTTCCATGATGGGTTTTGATGACACAATGGTAATTTTTATTAAAAAATCACCCCAAAAGCAAACTTTAATTATCATACAAATTGAAGGATTTCATATTAGTAAATGGTACCATAAAATAAAACATAAAATTAACAAAAAGGAGCTACGTTGAAATATAAGCTAAAAAAAAAAAAGAAAGAATTGGTCCCTCAGCAAGTAGTCAGATAATGTAATGAATAAATGTTGAAACTGAACAGAACTGCTAGTTTCATGTATTCAAACTCATGTAATCGGTATTTTATTTTAACTAGACATTGCTAATATAAGTTTGTATGATAAATAAATCTAGTTAGCACCAAATTTAAAAATTATTATAGGAAAATGTTGATTTGTTGATGGGAAGAAAGAGCAAAATATCAGTCAAATTGTATAATAAGATAAAATGTTACATTAACAAGCAACAAATAATTGCTTATTTGCTTTCTTCCACTCTGTGTTGTTACAAGTCTGCTCCAGAGGGCGCCCCCAACCTTAAAAATTAGTTCAGTACTATGTTCAGAAGGAGACTGCTAACAGTTACCATTAAATTAACGGATGGGTAGAATCAGTACTTTTAACAAATAGCATATGATAATTATTAGTATAGAAAGCTTGAAGCTTGAAGTGATTTATGTTTGCTTTTTGATATGTTATTTTATATGTGAATGACATTCAAAGTTCTACTTGTTGAACAAGCTTTTCCAGTGAAATTGAGGCTTAAAACATCACTGAACAATGTTTGAACTGGCAAAAGTGCAGCAGGAAGGCCTCTTTGAAATTTCTATTTAATTTCAGTTTTATCATCTCCCATATTTTTTATAATTATAACAGTAATTTGTTATAAAATGGAAGGGAATTAGTCATCTTCCTTCCCCTTCTTTAAATTAGTTTTCAATAAAGAAAAATGATTCAATGAGGTCCTATGCATACAGACTTAGAATTAAAAGCAGTTAACTCCTGGATAAATCTTAAGATTGCAGCTTTCATTTTTAACATGTAAATTGATTTAACTCATTTGTTCTGCTTGCTCTGACACTGGAGTCTTGCTCTGGAATTGGAAAATCATGTGTGATTAGTACTGCTGTCATTTCATTAAAGTAGTAATAACTTTTGTTGTTATCCAGACATATTTAACATTTCTGAGAAAAGAACATACTTCATTATTTATAATCACTTAATCATCACCACCTATACGAAAGAAAAAGACTGTTTACCTACAGGGTTTTTTTGTAGCTACATATATTTTAAAAACGGAGTGTGATAACTGTAGTTAAAGATGATGAGTTTGTCAGCTGGAAAGCTGACAGCTTGGATCAAGATCTGAGCACTGTTCAATGGGGTGAACTCCTGTTACTTGCCTCAGATCCTGTCCATCTAGCAATTTGAAAGCATGCAAATGCAAATAGAAAAATAGGTAGGGAAGGTAACAGCATTCCATGCACCTTAGCATATAATTAGGCTGGCCATATGACCATGGAAATGTCTTTGGACAAGCTGGCTACTTCAGCTAAGAAATGGAGATGAGCACGTCCTCCCCTCTGACATGACTGGACAGGGGAAACCTTTACTTTTACACTTTAAAAAATATTTAATTCTGAGGTAATTGATACAGTGTAGGTTTTTCATTGTCTGTTCAGAAGTAAGGGTAATTACAGTTTAAAAATGCTAAGTCTAATAAGGCTATGGATTCAATTATTTCTCATGATTAGTGGATCTATATAAAATAAATTACATCACTGAAGCTTTAAGAAATGCATCTTAATCTGATTCTGTGTGTATCTTTAACAAAATATTTATTAAATTCTAGTGTTCTATAGAAAAAATATATTTAGCAAAAAAAGGGGGAACTCATCAAATTTGCAGATGACACCAAACTGGCAGGAATAGCCAACAGCCCAGAAGACAAACTCAGGATCCAAAAAGATCTTGACAAACTTGAACAATGGGCCCTATCCAACAAAATGAGTTTCAATGTGGAAAAAAGCAAAGTGTTACATTTAGGTAGGAAAAATCAAAGGTGCAAGTACAGATTGGAATACTGTATTTTGGTCACCACGATGTAAAAAAGATGTTGAGACTCTAGAAAGAGTACAGAGAAGAGCAACAAAGATGATTAGGGGACTGGAGGCTAAAACATATAAGGAATGGTTGCTGGAATTGGGTATGTCTAGTTTAATGAAGAGAAGGACGAGGGAAGACATGATAGCAGTGTTCCAATATCTCAGGAGCTGCCACAAAGAAGAGGGAGTCAAGCTATTTTCCAAAGTGTCTGAAGGCAGGACAAGAAGCAACGGATGGAAACTAATCAAGGAAAGAAGCAACCTAGAACTAAGGAGAAACTTCCTGACAGTTAGAACAATTAACCAGTGGAACAACCTGCCTCCAGAAGCGGTGAATGCTCCAACACTGGAAGTTTTTAAGAAGAGACTGGACAGCCATTTGTCCGAGATGGTATAGGGTTTCCTGCCTGAGCAGGGAGTTGGACTTGATGACCTCCAAGGTCCCTTCCAACTTTATTACTATTATTATTATTATTATTATTATTATTATTATTATTATTATTATTATTATTATTATAGATTGGGCAACACTGGACTTAAAAACAGTAACTGTGAGAGGGACCTTGGAGTCCTAGTGGACATTCACTTAACCATGAGCCAGCAGTGTGCAATCCTGGGTTGTATAAACAGAGACATAGAATAAAGATCATGAGAGGTATTAGTACCACTTAATAAAACCCTAGTAAGACCTCACCTGGAATACTGCAGCCAATTTTGGTCACCATACCACAAAAAAGATGTTGAGAGTTTGGAAAAAATTCAGAGAAGAGCAACTAAGATGATCAAAGGCCTAGAGACTAAAACATACAAAGAACGGCTGCAGGACTTGGGTTTGGCTAGTCTAAAGAAAAGAAGAAATAGGGGAGACATGATAGCAGTATTCCAGTATTTGAGGGGCTGCCACAAAGAAGAGGAGGTCACGTTATTCACCAAAGCACCAGAGGGCAGGATAAGGAACAATGGTTGGAAACTGATCAAAGAGAGAAGCGACCTGGAATTAAGGAGAAACTTCCTGAAAGTGAGGACAATTAACCAGTGGAACAGCTTGCCCCCAGAAATCATGGGCGCTCCATCACTGGAGATTTTTAAAAAAAGACTAGACAGTCACTTGTCTGAGATGGTATAGGTGCTCCTGCTTGAGCAGAGGGCTGGACTGGAAGACCTTCAAGGTCCCTTCCAGTTCTATTCAAAATTAGTAAACATAAAAATAACCCAGTGAGAACTTATTGTATTGGTTTGCCGCTAGATATTGATTGTTTTGGATGGAAGAAATTAAGTGGGATGGAAAAAATAAGGAATACCATGGTAGTATACTGAATAGGTATTGGAGATTCTTAATAATCTTGTCTTTTAACAAGAGTCTTTTAAACATATAGACATTTCCATGAGATTAACATTATTTAACTGGAATAAAATCTTAAATTGGCATTTTATCTAATTTTCTAATGTTATTTCATAATTTGGATGTCAGTTAAAATACATAGGTTGTACCTATCTTAAAACTTTTTTTAAGTCTCTTGAATGCCAGTTAAAATGGTGCACTGTCTCGGGAAAGTATTATGGCTATTTTGAGACTATGAGGAGACCTAGAATCACAGCAGTTGG